AATGCAGTCATGCACACTTTAGGATTCTACACAGGGGGCCAGGCGTGGTGGCTCACACCTGTAATCCCAGCACTTTGGGAGGCCAAGGCAGTCCATCACTAGAGGTCAGAAGTTCGAGACCAGCTCAGCCAACATGGTGAAACTCCATCTCTACTGAAAATACAAAAATTAGTTATGTGTGGTGGTGCACACCTGTAGTCCCAGCTTCTCGGGAGGCTGAGGCAGGAGAATTGCTTGAACCCTGGAGGCGGCAGTTGCAGTGAGCTCAGATCACAGAGCGAGACTCTATATGAAAAAAAAAAAAGGATTCCACACAGTACTATACTTGTAATACACGTTTGGTAGTAAGCTTCCTAACAATCAAAATAAAAAGTGGCAAAAAATAAAGCTTTCCATGGCAATCAAGGCAAGTATGGATCATCATATATGAGATAATGAGTTACACTGAAAAAAATAATCCTCAAAAATATCCTTACAGTAAATGCAATAGCAAACTTCTAGGACTGTTTCTTGAGACTATTTATCAGGGCAGGCTAAGGACAAAACACTTGTGACAGATACTGCTAGGTGCCCACCAAACCCATTTCCTCTTCAACCCAGTCATATGCCTATTATATGCTCCACATTTTGCAGCCTTTCTTGAAGTAAGGTGTGGCCTATGACTGCACCCAAGGCAATGAAATGTGAGCCATTTCCAGGCCTAATCTGCAAAAAAACACACTTTCCCATTTGATAGCTTGATGCAGGCAAGCACAGTGACCTTAGTAAAGCTACACACTGATGATAGAGAATTACCAGATGGAAGGAGCTCAAGGCCCTACATCACTACTTGGAGGAAAACTACTCACCTATCAGGCTCCATGCATGAAAGAAACTTCAACTGGGCAAAGCCATTTAGACTTGTGGGGTTTACTTGTTACAGTACTATTAATAAAAAAAAATACAAACCTGCCAGGACCAAATGATATAATTCAAGTATTCAGTTTTCTTTCTTTCTTTTTTTTTTTTGAGATAGAATTTCGCTCTTGTCCCTCAGGCTGGAGTGCAATGGCGCTACCTTGGCTCACTGCAACCTCCACCTCCAAGGTTCAAGCAATTCTCCTGCCTCAGCCTTCCCAGGTACAGGCACCCACCAACATGCCAGGCTAATTTTTGTAGTTTTAGTAGAGGCAGGGTTTCACCATGTTTGCCAGGCTGGTCTCAAACTCCTGACCTCAAGTGATCCACCTGCCTTGGCCTCCCAAAGTGCTAGGATTACAAGCATGAGCCACTGCGCCCGGCCTCAGTTTTCTTTTTTTTTTTTTTTTGAGACAGGGTCTTGCTCTGTCACCCAGGCTGGAGTGCAGTAACATGATCATGCTCACTACAGCCTCAACCTCCCAGGCTCATGTGATTCTCCCACATTAGCCTCCCAAGTAGCTGGGACCAGAGGTGTGCACCACCACATTTGGCTAATTTTTTTTTTTCTTTTTTTTTAATTTTTAGTAGAGATGACCATCTCCCTATGTTGCCCAGGCTGGTCTCAAACTCTTGAGCTCAAGCGATCCTCCTGCCTCTGCTTCCCAAATTGCTGGGATTATAGGCATGAGACACCATGATCAGCAGAAGTGTTCTGTTTTCTAGTCGGTCTTGATTCTAGTATAAGTCTAAAGTGTCTAGAGAGCATTGTCCAATAGAACTTTCTGTGATGAAAATGTTCTATGATCTGCACTGTGCAATATGATAGGCACTAGGCACATGCGTACTGACTACCTAAAATCTGGCCGGAAAGGTGGCTCATGCCTATAATCCCAGCACTTTCGGAGGCCCATCTGGGAGGTTGGCTTGAGCCCAGGAGTTTGAGACCAGCCTGGGCAACAAAGTGAAACCCTGTCTTTACTGACAATAAAAAAATTAGCTGGATGTAGTGGCGCAGGCCTGTAGTCCCAGTTCCTCAGGAGGAGATGTGGTAGGATCACTTGAGCCAGGAGGTTGAAGCTGCAGTGAGCCATGATCACACCACTGCACTCCAGCCAAAAAAAAAAAAAAAGACCCTGTCTCAAAAAAAAAAAAAAAAAAAAAAAAAAAAAGGAAAGAAAAGAAAAGAAAAGAAAATGAAGAGACGGCAGGGACTGTTCTCTCTCTCTCTCTCCCTATCACGTGAAGACACATAAAGAGAGAAGCCATCTACAAGCCAAGAAGAAAGTCCTCACCAGAATTCAACCATGCTGGCAACCTCACCCTGAACTTCTGGCCTCCAGAATTTCTGTTGTTTAAGCCACCCAGTCTATGGTATTTTGTTATGGTAGCTTGAACAAAGACACAACATCTATGAAGATTAATGCAATCCAGTATAAATGGAAAGTATATACCAAACAGTAGTTGTCACTACTTGGTTGAATGCAAAACTCACATTACTTGAGTGAAACTTCACTCTTGCAGAGGACCAAGGAAAACATGACCATGCTTTTCTGTAATTCTGGAGTAGGGAAAAGATTAAGACAGACTGAATTGAAAAGCAAAGGCAATGGATGGTGCAGAAAGATGGAATAGACATACTTTTCTCAATTCCTCCCAATAAATACAGCTAAGTACAAGTCAAAGACAACTCCTTTCTCTGACTCTAACAGCACCCTCTTTGATATAATTAAAGCCTTTGGCAGTAACTCTACTTTGTTAGTGACTATCTTGCAAGATGTTCGCAGTGCTTCATAAACAGTAAGTGCTCTGAAAATAGTCAATAAATGAATAAACTGTCTGCTTCGGTCAGATGCACAGCTCTCGTGTTTCCTTCTCCCCTTCATACTCAATATTCTTGAACTCACCTCCAGACTTTGTTCAGGCTGGGCGTGGTGGCTCATACCTATAATCCCAGCACTTTGAAAGGGCAAGGCAGGAAGACTGCTTGAGGCCAGGAGCTCAAGACTAGCCTGGGCAACACAGCGAGACCCCATCTCAAAAAAAAAAAACAAACAACACAGACATGGTGGCTTGCACCTATTGTCCTAGCCCCTTGGGAGGCTGAGGTGGGAGGACCCCTTGGGTCCAGGAGTCCAAGGCTGCAGTAAGCTGTGATCATGCTACTGCACTCTAGCCTGGGCAATAAGAGTGAGACGCTGTCTCCAAAAAGGAAAAAAGGACTTTGTTCATCCTGCTCCCACCATGAGAAAACCATCTCTTCAGTTTTCTTTCTTTTTATTTATTTATTTTTTGAGACAGAGTTTCGCTCTGTCGTCCAAGCTGGAGTGCAGTGGCATGATCTCGGCTCACCTCAACCTCTGCTTCCTGGGTTCAAGGGATTCTCCTGCCTCAGCCTCCTAAGTAGCTGGGATTACAGGTGTGCGCCAGAACACACTGGTTATTTTATTTATTTATTTATTTATTCATTTATTTATTGTATTTTTAGTAGAGACAGGGTTTAGCTATGTTGACCAGGTTAGTCTCAAACACCCCACCTCAAGTGATCCGCCCTCCTTGGCCTCCCAAAGTGCTGGGATTACAGGTGTGAGCCACCGCACCAGGCTCTTTCTTCAGTTTTCTATCTGCCCACATCTTACCCATATGCTAAAGTCTGAATGTTTGTGTCACCCAAAATTTATATGTTGAAATCCTAACTCCTAAGGTGATGGTATGAGGAGGTGGGGCCTTTTGGGAGGTGATTAGGCCCACTTTCATGAATAAAATTAGTGCCCTTTTAGAAGATGCTCCAGAGAGCTGCTTTGCCATTCCACCGTGTGAGGACACAGCAAGAAGCCACCTATGAACCAGGAAAGAGGCCCTTGCCAGACACTAAATCTGCTGGCACCCTGACCTTGGACTTTCCAGCCTCCAGAACTGTGAGAAATAAATTTCCGTTGTTCGTAAACTACCTAGTTTATGGCATTTTGTTATAGAAGCCCACACTGACTAACACACCATCTCTCATGGCTTGGTTTAAGTGGTTCTCAACCAAGAAAGATTTTACCCCTCTCCCAAGGGACATGTAGCAATATCTGTAGACATTATGGTTGGCATCTAGTGGGCAGAGGCCAGGGATACTCTCAAACATCCTACAATACACAGGACAGCCCTCACCCCCACCCCACAGGAAAAAATTATCTGGCCTAAAATGTCAATAGCGCATCAGTTGAGAATAACTGGTTTAAATCAATCTCTCTTGGATCCCTTCCCATGTAATAACACTGATCTTTTCTTCCCAATACCTATGATCTCCAAGAAAGTTTAGAACAAGTTGTGCATTTCCTGAGTTTTTTCCCCGCATGTTATTTATAGACAATATGCTGACTTCCTTTAAATCCACGGGAGCCTTGTACAAGTCAGCCAGAGCTGCCTCTCCTTTTTCAGCATGCAAGGATATACCCTTCTCTCTGAATCCTTCTCATACAATTGCTTGTTCCCTCCCTCATGCTACCATTATTCCTATCGCATGCACATGTACACAACACACTCCCATTATGAAACTCATCACAACTATTTGCTCACATGTCTGCAGCTTCTTTACACTGAAAGCTCCTTAAACTAGAACCCTGACATATTCTATTGCATATAAAGCAGTTCCTCACACAAAATAGGGGACCAATAAAGATTTGGCGGGTTACAAAAATAACAACAGACATCATCATTTCTCGGTCACCTACAGAATGCCATAAACTGGCGTCCTGGCACTTCATTCTCCTTATTGCTAATTCTCACTGCAATCTACATAAGTGAAGAGGAAACTGAGGTCCAGAGAGTTTATTCAAACGACCTTCCCGTGGCCTTACTTTTAAAGTCAGTTCAAACCACATCTATTTGGATCAAAAATTCGTGATCTTGCCCTTACACACTTGGGGCTAACGGATGGAGAGATGGCGCCTCGGACAGGAGGGTAAACTGTCCCAGACTCACTACTGTGGCGTGAAAAGGGCCACAACCATAATCCAGGTCGACGAATTCCCGGCTCGGGGTCCCCGTGGAGTGTCCCTGAGGGAGGCGACAATTCCCGCCACTTTCCCCATTGCCGTCCCCCGCTTCTTCCCTACCTGGTTGTCCAAGTTGTCTCCGTCTGGTGGCACCCCAACTTCCCCTACTTGTACCCACCTCCTTTCCTCAGCCCCCTTCGCCTGTAGCTGAAAAGTGAGCGCGGGCTCTTGCGTCATCATCCGTCGCCGGCGAGTGGTCACATGATGCCCCTCCCTGCTCCCCGCCGCTTCGGTCATGTGACCGTCTGGGAAGTCAGGGGCGGAAGCCGGGCTCTGACCGGTTGCAGGTCCGGGACTGGGGATAGAAGAGGACCGGCGCCGTGAGGGAGGGGTGGAACCTGGGTGCCGACTCCGCGCGCAACCTCCTGCCCTGCGCGTGCGCCGCTGGCGCGGCCCGGCTGACAGGTGAGTGGGGATGGGATGAGCGCGCCCCATTTTTGCATGGCCCCCTTCACCTCCCCGCTGGGCCGCGCTGGCCCTGGGGAGGTCTCCAGCGTCGCGTGCAGCCTGGATGGGGGACTCGGGATGGAGGGCTTAGGGGCTTTCTGGGGCGGGGGCTGCAGTCCAGCTCTTCGTCTCCACTTAGGGGGAAATCATTTTGCACACCCCTTCCTCGCTTTAGGAAGCACCGTTCAGCTGGCTGCTTGGTCCGAATCTCATCCTTCCAAGTTTCCGGGAACACTGCTGTGTGGATGTCGTCGTTATTTCTCTCTTTGCTTTTGAGAAAACTGAAAGGCTAGTAGTGAGGACTTTTACAGCCTGACGGACCTGGATTTGCATTCTAGTTATGCCATGGGCTGTGAGTTTGGGCAAGTCATTGCTGCTTGCTGCGTCTTAATGCCTTCACCTGTGCTAATGCCAAAATCCTTTGCATTTTGCGGGGGCGGGGGGGAGGGAATGTTCCCAAGGCCCTGATTCCTCTATGATCGGACAGGAAAAAGAAAAAAAGTCACAGAGTCGTAGAACTGGGTCTCCTGATTGCAAGCGCATGGAGCTCCCTCAAACACAGGTGAAGGGTAGTGAGGGAGAAGTTTTCCTGTCTTTGTGCACAAGGGACACCTTCTCTAATTGTCCTTCACCTGCCTTTCCCAGGATTTCAGGTTCAGCCTCATGTCAGAACTTTTCTGGAAAACATATGCAGCTTGCATTTATTTTGATCGACAACCATTATATTTTGTTTGTGATAATGGATTTGTGAAGATCAGTGCTTCCTTTATGGAACTGAGGTTTTGCGAAAGGCTAAATATAGACCTACCTTCTTTTGTCCTCTGAAGGGGGTAAACAGTGTTTGTCCACGACAATTCGATTTCCTTAAGAAATATTATTCTGCACTCTGGGTAATTGGTATAATGATGCCATGCCTCATTCTTGAAAGCATGTCTTTTGATTAGGATTACTTCCCAAACTGAAAATCACAGTTCCACGCCAAATTCTTAAAAATGAAGTTACCGGCGCTTGTAAAAGAAAATAAGAAAATACAGTGGGATCTCTGGATTTCATGCCGATAGTAATACAGCCTGTATTGAGAGAGCTGATCTTCAAGTTTTCTTAATCCCTAGCATGAAGAGAACCTCTGAAAGGATAATTTACCATAGCTTCTTCTACAGAGTTTATTTGGACCTAATTCTAAAGTGGTTTTTTAAGACTTAACTGAGTCTTAACACTTTGTAAAGCCATCCATATACCTCTTAGCTGCAACTTGATTAGGCGTTTTTAATGATGGTTCTTAGATTCTGTTCTTCAGGACCAGTCCTTCAGCCAACGAGGGGGCTATTTAACAATTACTCTAGCCAAATTATATTTGTGCAAATTATGGAAATTCCATTTGTTACATGGAAAATATAACTAGTCCAGGTTAGGAGGTCTAGTACGTAAAATGTAACTAAGTGATTTCCTTCTTTCATTTAATCTTGTTTTAACTTCTTCCATCTTCAAAAACTTAGCAGGAGATGCTTGCATTATTAGAAATAGAAAACACAGGTGCCCTTCATGGGACCAAACAGATTACAAGCAGTGAGTTCATTTCACTAAAAGTATATTAAATATAACATATTTTGCTTTCGCGTTAAAAATTTAATATAAAGTTTATATATTGAATTTTAGAAAGGCGATTTATGTAGGTAATAAAGACCCATAATATTTGTTTTACTATTGCCAAACATATTTGATTATTATTATCCTTCTCATGTTCTTTTAAAGTTGTCTACAATGTAATTCTTGAGTAAGGACCTAAGGATTAAAATAAGAGATTGACACACGAAAGTCTTGATTTCTGTCGTTATCCCAGACTGAAGCTTCCCTGAATGTGTGCATGCAGGTGCTGAGTCTGTCTGCCCTTCTGTATGTTGGGAGAGAGTAGAGTAAAGGGCAGGTAATGTTACTTTGCTTTAAGATGTTTTTCCCAGGTCTGCATTGTTGCCCTGTCATGGTATCCAAAATCAGGGAGCTCTTGGACCTGTTAATCATCGCTTGCCCTCCTCTTCATGAGTCTAGAGCAAGCTTGTCTAGCCTGAGGCCCACAGGCTGCATGTGGCCCAGAATGGCTTTGAATGTGGCCCAAGTGTGTGTGTGTGTGTGTCTTAAAATATGAGTTTTTGTGTGTGTGTGTGTGTTTTTTTTTTAAGCTCATCAGCTATTTTTGGTGTTAGTGTATTTTATGTGTGGCTCAGGACAATTCTTCTTCCACTATGGCCCAGGGAAGACAAAGATTGGACTCTCCTGGTGTAAAGTTTCATCCTACTTAGACCTTCTGGGTTAGTTTGGTGGTCTTCAGAGGGCTTTAGGAGGTGACTGTTTTGCCCATTGTCCATTATTTCCCTTTTCCCTCTCTCCTTTCCCAAGCCAGACCATATCCATGGAGAAAATGAAATGAAATTATCTGAAATTCAGCCTGTTAGAGATCAGTGTGGTTTAACAAGCAAGTATCACAGAGGAAACTAAAAGAACTTGTTAATAATGTATGCCTTCATGTGTATCAGAGGGTACCTTCATGAGAGTTCTAGACAGCTGTAGTGGCTTCTTGGCTCTCAGACGCAATCCAGTCTACTTCTTCTGTTTCTACCCCTAGCTGACTCTACTCCAGCCACTTTAGGCACCTTGCTGGCCGTCTAGCACATTCCTGCCCTGGGGCCTTTGCACTTACTTGTAACCTCTGCTTGGAATGCCATTCTCAGGATCATTATCTATTGCTGCATAATAAACTATGCCAAAACCTAGTGGCTTAAGACAATAAGCTTTATAGTATCTGTGGTCAGGAGGGTAGGGCATAGCTGGCTGCCTTTGGCTCTGGGGCTTTTAGAACATTGCAGTCAAGCTGGGAACAAGGGGCTATGGTCTTATCTGAAGGCTGGACTGGGATTATAGGGATCTACTTTCAAGTTCACTCAGGTGGTTTTTGGCAAGGCTGAATTCCTTGTCATATGGGCTTCTGCACAGGGCTGTATCATACCATGACACCTTGCTTCCCCTGGACTAGCAAGCTAGAGAGGATGACCAAGCCAGGAGTTAGTCTTTTCAATTTCTAATCTCAGAAGTGGTATCTTTCATTTCTATCCTATTTTTTTCCTTTCCTTTCCTTTTGGTTTTTTTGTTTTGTTTTGTTATTGAGATGAAGTCTCACTCTGTTACCCAGGCTGGAGTGCATTGGTGCTATCTCGGCTCACTGCAAGCTCCGCCTCCTGGGTTCAAGCAATTCTCCTGCCTCAGCCTCCCAAGTAGCTGGGATTACAGGTGCATGCCACCATGCCCGGCTAATTTTTGTATTTTTAATAGAGACAGGGTTTCACCATGTTGGCCAGGCTGGTCTTGAACTCCTAACCTCAGGTGATCCGCCTGCATCAGCCTCTCAAAGTGCTAGGATTACAGGAATGAGCCAGCACACCTGGCCCTATTCTCCTCTTTAGGAGGGGGTCAGTAAGTCAGCTTATCTCAAGGGAAGGAACCTACATAGGACATGAATACCAGGAGGCAGAGATCATTAGGGACCACTTTAGAAGCTGCTGACCCCACCCAGATATCCATACTGCTTGCTGTCTTATTTCCTTCTGACTTCTGCCCGAGGTGCTCTATGGAAACTAGCATATGCTCCATCCTGTATTATGCTTTTTCTTCACAGCCTGATATATAAAGCTCACTTTCATAAATGTCAAGATACATTTGCAATCAAAACTTTTTCTTCTCCTTTTTATGAAATGTTTTCCCATGTTTTGTAATCACTCTCGCATTTTTCAGACATGAACTATACTTAATAGCAAGAATCTCCTATACTTGACATGTGAGAAAATCTTTTTTTTTTTTTTTTTGAGACAAGGTGTTACTCTCGCCCAGGCAGGAGTGCAGTGGCGCTATCACAGCTCACTGCAGCCTCAACCTCCAGGACTCAAACAATCCTCCCATCTCAGCCTCCCTTGTCACTGGGACTACAGGCACACACCACCGTACCTGACTAATATTCTTTTGATTTTTAGTAGAGACAAGGTCTCGCTATTATTGCCCAGACTGGTCTTGAACTCTTGAGTTCAAGCATTCCTCCTACCTTGGCCTTCCAAAGTGCTAGGATCAAAGGTGTGAGCCACTGTTGCCAGGCCTAAAAACATTTCTAAAGATTGTTCCCTCACCTACTTATTGTTCCCTCACCGACTTCTAGTGGTTTTTAGGACATAGCTCTCTTTTTCCAAAGATAAGATGAATGGCACAATTCCTGTAAGGAAAGTGTAATAATCAGTGGAAGCAGAGAGCTGAAAAGATGGGGATTGGAGGAAAACGCAGTAGTACAATACAGAAATAGCTACATGGACATTATTATACAAAAGCAATGACTATATTGCACAGCATTATAGAAAATGAAATATCACAGTAACAACATCAGCATGCTGTTTAAATTGACAACTCGTACTGTTAGTCCTCAAAACTGAATGTCAGCACTATGGCAAATTACCCCAAGGCTTATTTGCCCAAAACAATACCATATTTTAAAAATTTATCATGATCCTGTGGGTTAGGAATTGGGAAAAGGCACAGAGGGCTTGGCTGGCTGCAGAAGCCGAATAGCCTCTTCCCTTCTATGTCTAGCACTTCAACTAGGAAGATTTCAAGAGCTGGGGGGCTGAGGAGACCAGGTCAACCCAAGTCACACGTCGGCGCTTCGGTTTCTGCTATCTGCTGG